GAAAAAAGAAAGTTCGGGAAGATATCAAAAAGACAAAAAGATTAGATCAGTGATTAGTGGTGATATGATATGTTTATAGTTCATTGATAAAAACAAGATGATTCATTTTTCAATTTGATATTTCAATGTTTTGCTTGTACTTCTAGCATATTTCAATATTTCATTACTTATAATGCATATCTTATCTTTTATCAGAAAAAAAAAATCCTGTTGTTTATTGGTAAATCCCATTAAGAAATTTTTTACTTTTGACAAATTATTGTAATTTTTCTAACATATTTCATTAATCAATAACTTATCTTTATTAACAGTGTTTATTCTTTTCTGCCATTTAGTTTCTTCTTTTAAGTAATTTGGTAAAATGCGAATTAAAAAATGCGAGCAATTATTATCAATGAATTAAATGAAATTCTAGCAATTCTTATCACTCTTATCAGTGACTTAAGTAAAACTCATTTATTATTATCAATAAATGAGATGATAGATCAGTGATTATAACTGAGTTAAATGAAATGCTAGCAATTCTCATCAATCTTATCAGTGTGTTAAATGAAAAAAAGAATTGGTAAATTGTAACATTTCTATTATCTTTTGCCTTATCTTTTTTGTTTTTGCATTTAATGATAACATTTAAAAATGTTTTTATTTTTTAAATATTTAATTTCAATGCTATAAACGATTGGGAAAAATATTTTGTAATGTATATGAGACTGTATTTCTTTCTAAGAGAGAGAGAGAGGAAGAGAAAGAAAGAGAGAAAGGGGTTATTATATTTTTATTGCTATATTTAAACTTTTTTGGAAGAAAAATTTAAAATTTCCAACAAACGACAGATATTAAAAATGATTTTTACCAACAGAACATTTTTTGAATTGATTTAAAAGTATGCAAATATTGGAAAAAATATACTTAGAGATAAAATTTAATCGAATTATTTTAATTTCCCAAAAAAAAAAAATCGATCAAACGATATTTTTTAGAAAATCATATTCATTAAAAATTTGTTTTTTTTCTTAAAGTGTATTTATTTCATTTAGTATTTCAAGGAATTGATTTTAAAATTTCAACGAATGATTTATTCACTTTCAAAATTTCCAGTGCTTGCTAATGGCTTACCTTGAAACTAATATTAAAATATTTTATTAAATTTTTATAATTTGGTTAAAAATTATTTAAAAAAAACGAAAATTTTTGAAATTTTATTTTTAATAAAAACACAAAGTAAATGCTTAAAAAACTGAGAAAAATTATTTTCTATTAAATAAGAAATGCTTGATTTTGCCATTCTTCTTTTTTTTTTTTATTATAAACAAGTTTTCTGATTTTAGCTTTTCGTTTTTTCCGTAGAAAATCTTTCAATTTTTTTTTTGTTTTTTATCTTTGAAGTTGAAGAAATCGAATATTATCAATTTAAGCATTTGAAGCGATCATTTATCAAAAGTTTTTTACATTGCGGACAAAATTATTATTTGCGTACATTTCGATTTGGCGTATTATTGCTCCTACTATTAAAAATGTTTTATTTTTGTGTTTAATTAGTTGTTTGATCTCAAACTCTTATCATTACCATATTTATTA